TTATCAGTTGTGTACGTGCACTGTGCCCCCTGGCTATCGTCCCAGCCTGGTAGTTGTGTATGTGCATAGTTATCCCCGGTTATCGTCCCACCCTGGCACAGATGGCCAGTCCCTCCCGAGCTTCCACGTCCAAAGAGTCTTGTAATGTTACAATTTTGCAACTGTCTCCATGGGAGAAGGGCCAGTTCCCACCACACGGAAAGCAGCTTTATATTTCTTTGTGTGCTGGTGGCTGTAGGTCCATGGAACGGCCAAACATGGCGGTACTCATGTCAAGACAACGCCTTTTTAAATCTGTGTCAGGAAATAAGAAGTAAACATAAAACACTCCTGCACAGAGTATGGTGGTTGTCTTGATGAAAAGCACTGGTGCAATTGAGTTGCAAGCTGAACTAACCACTTTTTTTGTTTTGAATGTAACACTCTTTTTTACTTGAAAGAACAACTGACAAACTATGGTTGTTCAGACTTGGGGATTTGGTAGACATTTTCTCTGAAATGAACAAAGTAAGCTTGTCACTTGAAGAAAACAACTGACAGAAAGGTGCCAATGATAAAATTTGATCTTTCAAGCAAAAACTGGAACTTTGGAAAACTTTTATCTACTGCCATAAGCTGACAGTTTCCCAATACCTAAAGACTTTTTTGATGAAATTGGTGGTGATATTAACAAATGTGAATTTTTGATATTGTGTAGTGAAAAGTTTCAGCGTTTGGAAGATCTACATAACTCAGTGAACCAGTGTCTTCTAAAAGTTTGATGTGTGATTTTACAAAGTCATATATTGGTAAAACATCCATTCGAAGTGCAGGACAGACAGTATACTGGATTTTAACTAACAGAGTAGGAAAAGTTCATTGATATGGCTTTAGATTCTTCATTGCACCCGACCTTTAAGGACTTATCACTTGTTGAGTTTTGGTGGTAATATGGAAGAATATCCAGAGTTATCTGAAAAGACTATTAAAATACTTCTTCCAACTAATATTTTCATATTTGTCAACCAAATCAACAGATTGAATACAAAAGCAGTATGAAAATCCAGCTTTTTTTCTGTTAAGCCAGATAATACCACATTTCTTGCAAAATATTTTTGTTAAGAGTATAAAGGATTCTTGAGTCTAAAAAGTTTGAGAACTACTCCTCTATGGAGATTAAAATAAAAATTTTAAGTTTGTATAACTATTGAAACAATTTCCATTTTAGGAATTTATACTACAGATATAATCTCACAAAAATGAGATAATACATGTACAAAGTTATTCATTGTTGGATTGTTTGGATTACCACAAGATTGGAAACAACCCAGTGTTTGCCCATCAATTGAGAATTGGTTGTATTGAGATATAACCATACAATGTAATGCTATATTATCTATTAGGCAGGTATAAATTTATCAATGTGGAACAATCTCAAAGATATGTTAAATCATAAATTCAAAGTGCCAAAAAATGTGTAGAGTACACTATAATTTGTGCACAATTATATGTTGTATATGTATATGCATGGACTATGTATTGAAGGATACCCAAGAAACTGCTACAGTGGTTGCCACTGTAGAGGGGAGCTGTGGGTAAGAGTGGGAGAAAGACATTTCTAAAAGTCTGAATACATCATGAGCAGTTCTAAAAAATACAAAAATAGCTGTATCTGTTCCAAAAAAATTCCTAATATTTTAAAAATTATTTTTTGGTTTCTTTCCTAAATTTACATGGCTCATTACTTATTAGGAGCTAAGCCGGGTTAAAAATCCAAAACTAACTGATCCGGGTTCTGCTTCTTTCCTTACGTTAAAATCTGCACACACTCTCATGTTGTGGCAAGACATTCACAAAAAGCAGTTGTTTTATGTGGTGGTAATTGTTTTGTTGCCGTAATGAGTTGACCTGCAAAAGAGACACAAGAATTTGCAGAAGATGACCTGGAGTCAGTCCCAAGAGGCTGGAGCAAAGTTCCTGAGGAAGGGATACATTGGGTTTTAAAGGGATAGTGGAATTTTATTAGCAAGAAAAGTATATTCTAAACAGGGAATGATGAAGACTGAAGTTGGGATACATATAACACTCCCTGGCATTAGTGGGAGACGAGTGTTAAGTACCGTAAAGTAGTGGTTCCCACACCTTATCATGCATCTGAATCAACCAGAGGCTTTATGAAAATATAAGTTGCTGAGCCCCACCCTCAGAGGTTCTGATTCATTAGATCTGGACAGGGGCCTCAGAATTCACATTTCTAACAAGTTCCCAGGTGATGCTGAGGCTGTGGGACTGGGGACCACACTTTGAGAATCAATATATAAGAGAAGTTGTGGTTTACCAAGGGATTTTAGCCTTCAAGAAAACTTGAGATTTGTAATATACTCAAGTCCTGAGGAGAGGCAGTCCAAAGCTATTAGTTCCTGGGACTTCTTTAAGGAATGTGGGCCAAGTTCACAAACTGGTACCTCCATCAGCGTGACTTTTGTCATAGTCTACTCACAAGGTCACATTATTTCCCAGAGAATTTGCTTAAACAAATCCTGGTTCCTGCCTAGTGCCTCTGGTTCATGGGAAACTTGTTTTTCTGAAACTACTTTCTTCCGTAGGCAAAATAACTTATTAAAAAGTATAAGATTCTTGTAGTCTGAGGTAAACAAAATATGCAGATTATGAAAAACAAAGACAGACTATGGGAATATTCTAGATTAAAGGAAGCTAAAGATTAATAACAACTAAATGCAGTTTCTACCCCTAGACTGGATCCAGTGTTAGAGGGGCAGAAATGCTATAAAGACATTATTAGGTCAGTGGACAAAATTGGTATATAAATAGTACATTAGATAAAAGTATTGTATCTGTGTGAATTAATGAATTGATAACTGTACTGTGGTTATGTAAGAGAATATCCCTACTCCTAGGAAATACACACTCAAGTATTTAGGGGTAAAGGGCCATAATATATGTAATTATATGCATGGTTCAGAAAAAAATTGATTTTATAGAGCACATAAGTGATAAAACCAATGGGGTAAAATGTTAACGATGGGCAAATCTAGTTAAAGGGTTTACAGGTGTTCCTTGTACTATTTTTGTTATTGCAATTTTAAGTTTAAATTACTTCCAAATGAAAAGGTTTTTTTAAAAACATGCAGGAAAGTGAACAGGTAAGATTTAAAAGTTTGTTTTCTTTAAGAGAGAGAAAATTTCCTTTGGGCGTGAAGTTGGGCTCTTTGAAAGCTTTTCGGTCACTTCCTCTAAACACCAAAAAATAGCCCTTAGAGTCAGCACAAGGAGCACATTCTCTGATTGAGTTTCAGATTTCTATGACCGTATCTATAAAATATGAATGATAATTTATACTAAAAGGCATGGTTATGATTTTATCATGTGAGTTAGTTATATTTTTATTACATGGTTATTTGCCAGCATTAAATATCAGTTAGGTCATGATCGAAATACTTGTGGGAAATAGGAAGCTATTTGGAAGAAAGAGCAACTAGGGGAAAAGAAAAGAGTAAATCAGAATCTAATCTGAGTGTTTTGCCATTGGGGTAAAAATAAAGGGCAGAGACTTAGTAACGTTCTTCTAATTGGTCACCCGTTAATTTGTAATAAATGGTTTGACTTTTAATGAAGTCTGTGATATTACTAGAGCCAGCTTATAAATCACATTTTGTATTTAATTCTTTCTTACTTGGCTAACTCTTTTTTATTTACCTTTTTAACCATGATATATGTTGATGCCCTTGGAAAGCCTTCTTCTTTCCAAGTATTCCTGCCTAGAGTTGCATCTCTCTCTCTCTGCTTCTTTCCCAGTAGTCTGTTTATGTACTGTCAAATCACAGATGTCCTCTATACTTTCAATTATTAGTTCAACTAGTTCATTTAATGTTATACTCCTCTAAGTAAGGGTTTATTATCACAAATGATATTAATAATGAAGGTCATAAGTAATTAAACCATGAGATTAAATGAAAGAAATTCATTTTTCACTATGCTGTGCCTTTTACTTTACCTTGCTAAGATCAACTTCCATTGGCTAAATTTTCATCCCACTCAGCCTAAAATTTTTTTTTCTTTTTGAATACATTATTGGAGACCTAATAGGCTTGTTTTAGGTATATAGCTTTCTTAATATGTAAGCCTACACAAGAATATTTCTTTATTGTTAATGCTATATCTCTTTCCAAGTGAGAGCATGACTTCGGGCACACATTAAATAATACATTAAACCATAGCAAATAAATCAGTGATTAAAACAACGCAAAATCAGGTCCCAGATTTAAAATGTGACTACTCCATTGTGAATGTCCCTAGAGAGATTTAGCTCTAGGACATCAAAATCTATAAACCCCATCAGGTAGGGGCAGTAGATAGGAGGGAGCCTTAGGGGAACTGACTCCAGCTTCCTCAGTAACCTCACCTCTAGAGGTCTTTGTAGAACATTGTGCAGCTTTTTAAAAGCCAGTCGGTTGGAAAAGACATTTGTCTTTCCTTCATTTGCTTTTTTATTGATAAAAATTTATTAGTGCTTTTTAGAAGCCAGAATGCTGAGTTTTTTTTGTAACTCTTGAAGTTCATGCTTTATAAAAGACACTTAAAAGTATGTGTAAAGGTAAATTATGTGTAAAGACACATTTAAAATAAGCCATATAATAATGGATTACTATTGACCTTATTTTTTTTTCTGTGGCAGCAATGATAATTATGTAAATAAGTCCAATACACATTTTTAAAAACTGATGATTTTAACATTAAAGCCTGAAATGGGTTCTTTTTCCAACATTGGATAAATATTTAACGACAGAAAAGTGAGCAATTTAAAATAAGACACAGTCCGGGTAATAGATAGCAAGGGTCAGAGTAATTTTTTTAATTGAGTTACATTCTTTACAAAGCCATATGTCACATTCTTCAGTTTCCCCAGATTGATGCAGACTTTGGACACAGGGATTTAATCTGCCATGCAAGAGCACTTTATTTTGTGGCTGTCAATGGACTCTTGAAGTTTCTTTTGGCAGATGGAGATGGACACATGGATCACTTACTGCCAGGCTGCGAAGATAAAAACTGCCAGAAAAGCGTCATTTACTTAGTGAGATCTGGAACAAAGCAGGTATATCAGCTTGTTTTTTATTGTAAAACAAGTTAAGTTGTTGAAAAAAAATCTTCAGAGGTTAGAAAAGGTATCTGAAGAATCAAAACAGAGAGAAACCAAAAATAATTTACTGACTCCTTCATTTTAACTTAATGAAATCCATTTAGATCTATTTTTTGTTGGTTTATTGATGGAAAAAGTACTATTATGATTATTTCTGGTGAAGAAAACCCATTCTTCATCCTGTAATTAAATGATCTGTTTGCATCTATGGGCTGGGAATATGGTAAAATCCTCTGTAACTATAATAAAGGGTTATGTAGAAGAACATCGTTATCTCTTTTTAAGGCTAATCTTGCTATTATTTGTGGTGTCTAGATCTATTTCATTCTCTCATGCTGACTTTTTACCTGTAGCTTGTAGGTAAACAGTTTAGAATCTGATAGTCACAGCAGAGGATTAATATGGGAATGATAGATTGTGACATTGAGAATTTTTCCATACTGATTACACCTAAAAGGAAACCATTAATATAGTAGTAGAAATAAGCAGTTTTATTTTCTATTTGGGGGTAATAAATGATAGAATAATATTGACTTTTATAGTGCTTATAGGTGGGGAAACGTCCCATTTTGTACTAAGACACCAAACAAAACAAATCTTCATACAGTCAGCATTCTAAAAACATTTAACTGTTCCACCCATAAGTTTTGTTATCTTGAACTTTTTTTAAAGTTTTTAGTCACTGAAAACATTAAGTGAAATAACACCTCATCATTGCTTCACAGGTATAAGTAAACCTAGCAATTATAGCCTGTCTTCGAGTGACAGACTACTGAAGGAATATTTTCAAATTATACGGTCATCTCTCTCTGAGAAGATAAATGTCACAATTCTTTGGTGACTGTTAAGGATGTCACACTAATGAAAAATCTTTTTACTTTTTAGACCTTAATACATTTACCTTAACAGGAATACCTTATCCTCATTAATAAACTGTCAACATCTTCAGAAATGTGTGATAACTTGGCATTTTGTGAAATTTCTTATCTTCTAAAACAAAACCAACCTTTTTTTTTCCAAAGTCAAGTGAAACATTAAAACATTTTGATGATATATAGTACTTTTTTGCTTTAAGAAAGATTGAAAAATTGATTTAAAGATGCAAACCAATTTTTTAAAACAGCCCGTTTTCTGTAAATATGTTTTTATCATTAAGCTGTTTTTTTTCTTTTTCCTTGGCAAATTATGCTTTCTTTGGAAACCTAGAAAATGTTCAGGATACCCTGTGTTCTAAACCCTTTTCAAGAAGCCATTTTTAATATGGTTTGGCTTAGAGCCGTATAAGCGAGTCCCCTGCTTATGAGAAAAAAACATCTGCAGGCATGTGTGGCCTCATGTCGTTTCAAGCCAGCTGCGTCTGCTTCTGTCTGGCATCTCCAGGTTATGTGCCAGTATCCATACTCTTAGCTCATCAGGAGCACGTCTGTAATTTTAATGGCATGATTTCCACTCTTCAGATTTTCGATTTGCATTAGGTTATTAAAAGTGAAGATTTGGGCATTCATAAGAGAAAGGGATTTCCAAAAGCTCGTTTTGAAATTAACCTATTCTCTGTTCTTTTCTTTATAATCCATATAGAAATAAAGAATTTACGAAAAATGTAGCTTCTGGCTGTTTTGGTGACTCTGAGGATGATGACTAAATTAATTGTCATGTATAGGAGGCACAGCAGGAGAACAAGGGAGACTCTGTCATGTTCTAACTTTTTTCCTAAGCTGGTCTTCCTGAAAGTACATCAGTATTAGATGATATTACAGTTTGCTTTAATTTTAAAAAATATTCATTTGAGGTTATATTTCCACTCAACACAGATTTTAAAATGGGCAGTTCAACTATAGTAACATCAGTTCAATCCTAAGATTTCTGTGATTCCATGAAAAACCTTTTAAGGTTCTATTACCAGTTCAAGGAAAGATGACTAGTGATAAATTTTAAAGGAGACTATTTTTTTTTCCACAGTGTTAGTTACCTATTTATCAAAGTAAATTATAATACCCTACCATATTGTAGAGATAAAGAACTTAAGTAAGATGATGCTTATCTTGAGGACTTTTAATGGATCGTTTGTTTTGCAAATGGTGAATTTTTTTTCTAAAATAACCGTAAAATTTAATTCTTTTCCTCTTAATCCATAGTGGGTTCCAGTCTTACAGGACTTCAGCAATAAGGGCACACTCTGGGGCTTTGTGCCATATGTGCATGAAGAATCACCAACTGAAATACCAATTCCAATTACCCTTCATATTGGAGACTACAACATGGATGGCTATCCAGATGCTCTTGCCATACTGAAGAATACATCTGGAAGGTACAAAAATACATCAAATGAGAAATATTTGTAAAATATCTTCACTTTGACACTTTGTAAATGAATAGCACCTAAATATGGTAAAGCAAGTGTTTAAAACCCAGGGTTTCTTTTTTGTTCTTTTGAGGTAGAAGAGAATTGAAGGATAGATTTCAGTGCATCTCAGTGTACATTAAATCACTAGATGAGAAATAGCCCTATGCTTGAAAAGGAGATATGTGTCTAGGAGAACTCAGCATAATATATTCTTTGAAACATAGAAGAAGAAAAAGACATAGTGTGCATTGTAATTCTTTCATACATGAATTTACTTTTGTTGAGAAAGCATTTTGTAATTTCTAACTGATTTAAAGACTGCTACATTGCTGAGAATTAGTTCAGGGTTCATGTTTCTAATTTGAAGAGTTGCTCCCTGGAGAGTTCTGCCTCCTTTTTTTCTGCAAGTTTGAAAATCAGGTAGAGATTAAGTATGCCGATGAGAATAAAATCCACAACATGTATTTCATAAAGAGAAATTTTGAAGCCATGGTTAGTTAACTTGTTTTTTTGTTTTTGTTTTCAGAAGACAGCTGTTGTTTGGGTTTCTATTTGTATTTTGTTTTATACTGAAAACCTGATTTATCATAAGTTAACCTTTAAAATCATGTTACATGAAAAACATCTCTATTAATGACATTTTATAGACACAGCAAATGATGCTAAACAAAACAACATGGTTCGAGATTGCCCATTTTACCTCTGTGCCACCACTGACTGAAAACCCTGTTGTTTCCTTGGCTGTCCCATTGCTACTCAGTGGTCCTGTGTTTAGTCATGTTCTGTATATAGTCATGTTGTCTTAATTCTCTCAATTTTGTTTTTTATTGAGAGAAAAAAGGCAAATTTAAAATAACATTGTTCCAATAGTGTACTCTTAAGCCAATAACAATTCTATTTTTAGAATATTTTTTTGTTTCATTTATAAAGTAACACTGAAAAGGTGTTTCATGTCCTAAGCCTATAGTATGGAACTGAAAAACTTTTTAAAAAGAAACTGAAGGATACGTTATAATAAAAAATATTTGAGTAACATTTATCTAATTAAACTTTTGTCCTTATGGATTTCCAATCACTATTTTTTTTTTTTTTGGCATATAAACTTTTTCTCCAGCTTTATTGAGATATAATTGACATATAACATGGTGTAAGTATAAGGTTCCAATCACTATTATTTTTTAATTAACCAGAGTTACTAGAAAAAGTAATACAAAAAAATGCAAAGCTTGAATTTATTTTTGCCTAATATTTGAGATATTGGAAATTTTATTTTATGCATATATTAGAAAGAATTTTCCTCTAAATATTCCCCGAGATATATTAATATCATAGGTAAAATTAAATCTTAATTTTAATTTAGAGCTGCTATTAGGGTTCCATATGAAAATTTGATAAACCATATTTAAATTAACATTCTAAACCTTATTAGGTCATTTTTTAAAATTCAAAGACAATATAGATTTTAATTTGCTCAGAATAAATATGTATTTGTTTAACACTGGTACTATAATCTAGAAGTTGTGTTAATTTATCGCTTTGCCAAGTACATACGGTGCATATTTCTTCCTTATTCTGAGCGTTTAACTGAGTAGCTGTGTAGAAGAGAGTGACTCCTGGTCTTTGTTCTGACTACTCCATGTCAGCTTCTTATGATACAGTCAGAATGTTAGTATAGTTAAAGAAAAGCTTTATTGTTATTAATAAATTGCAAGTCAGTGGATGAACCTATATAGCAAAACTTGAGCTTCCAGCAGACTTTTATAGGAGATCTAAGCCTAAAAGTAGCTGAAAAAAATTAAAAACAAAGGGTTTTGGCAGCAAAGTAGCAGATTCTGAGTATCAGCCATGAGAACACCCAAAACCTGTTAAATGGTAAGTAAATCAGTTGAGGTCCAAATGTGATATATTCCTTGTTAGTTGATGCCAGGAAGAAAAACGCTTTAGTTGTAAAGTGATTTTCATGCATTTTCCTTCACAATAATTTTTATAGGGTGGAATTATCTTTCTTTTATAAATAGGAAGTGGTCCCAGATAAGTCAGACAACTTGTCAAAGGTCACAGCTGCAGTCAGGACTCTTTAAGTTCACAAAATCCGAATCCTTTTTCTTTCCCTGTAAGAAAAAATTTAGGAGGAAGGAAGAGGTAGATAAGCAAAAATTAACATATTTTTGGCAGAGGTTAGAAGTGATAATTTGGGCAGATAGTAAAAGTCACTCTGACAAGAGAAAAAAGGAGCAAGCTAAAGACAAATAAAATTCAGAAGTTTTGTGATTCCTGAAGCGGAAAACATAAGTATCTGTCTGTCTGTTCCATGGCAGTCGTTCCTCACCAAAACTGCCTGCTGTCAAAGGAGATTATGTGCAAGCATGTGGTCTCTTATGTTAGTAACTCAGAAACCAGAGGTATAATCTGGGTATGTTGGTGGTACACATTCAAGCTGCCATTATGAGAGGATGGAAAATGACCAGAAGCAAATTGGGATCTGGGACCTTGTCAAGAAAGTAATTGCTGGGGACTTCTACTGAAAGTGTTAGCTAATTATCCATTCAGTATAATCTGCATTTTCATCTTCGTCCTCAGCTTTTTTATAGAGTAGTTTAGCTTCACGTTGATACCCTGCCTTACCAAGTTTACACTGTGCTCCAGATGTTCTGCTTTAGAGAGCAAGGAGATTGCCAGTGTAGGAGCCTATAGCTACTTGAACGTTTCCAGCTACTTTTGTTTTTCATTTTCGTTGTGAAATGTATCAAAGGATTTCGTCATCATTTTAAAATAAATCATCCCTCTTACCAGTTTTATATGTTATACTTCAAATGATTCACCATAATTTTTGTTTAAAATAATGTTATTCACCACCTTTTCCATGGATATAAAAATGTGACAGACTTCCTAATTTGCAACAAAAGAAAAAAACATTCCATGACTATTCTGCCTATGAATGTTTGGTGGTAGTTTGCAAAATAAATCTTGATTTGGTATGTCACATGCCATATCAGTATTTCTGTCTCTTCAAATGTTACTAGAGAGGATTGTGTGTTTCTAACATTACAACCTATATCATTTGTCTTATGACCTAAATCATTAACTAGTCTTTAGTTAATGAATAATAACTCTGGATAGGGAAGTTATCTGCATTCATAGGTTATTGAAGACAAGCGAATATTTTTGCTTATAGTATTTTATAAAATTGCAGGTAGGGGTTAGAGCAGAGTTGTTTTCATAAAATGTTTGTTTTTCAAAATTAAAAAGGGTACTGAATTCAAGAATCATAATCACAGGCCGGCCCAGCGGCATAATGGTTAAGTGTGCGCACCACTGCTGGCGGCATGGGTTTGGATCCCGGGCGTGCACCGATGCACCACTTGTCAGGCCATGCTGTGGTGGCATCCCATATAAAGTGGAGGAAGATAGGCACAGATGTTAGCCCAGGGCCAGTCTTCCTCAGCAAAAAGAGGAGGATTGGCGTGGATGTTAGCTCAGGGCTGATCTTCTTCACGAAAAAAAAAGAGTCATAATCACTTTACTGCTGGATTTAATAAAATTCATTATTTCCTCCTAAGCAAATTATTATAAAGCCTCCAGGAGTATCAATATGTGATTTCTTCAAATCAATTTTTACAATGTGGAATATCTTATGAGGCTTAAATTTACTTTCATTTTTGTACTATTTCTGATCAAATATCTTGTTCAATAGCTTTTGTCCCTCGAATGAGAGAGAATACTAAATTATCCCAATATGGTGTGGCAGAATTAAAAATGCCAGAATATGTTTTAAAATCTTGTGTGGATGATGACTCATCACCGAAGAACTCACACTGCTGTGTTGGCTAACCTTCACTCACCAACCAACTCCAACTTCAGTAGTTGGAATATGTAACAATCATATTTTTTATACAGTAAGGTTGCCTATTCTTTTGCCCTAATGAATCCCATATTAAAATCCTTAATCCCATACTAAAATGAGAAAAAAGATCCACTAATTAGTTATGAGGGAAAAAATTATGTAGTCATTGAGCTAAAACACTGACAAGCTCTGTTAATTCCAAAAGGAGATATATTAAATATTATTTACTCTATCAGCAGTTTTTAATCAATTAATAATTACTCCTATACACTAAATATATTGGCATAACATTGTATTCTTCTATAATTTTTACGTTTCCTCTGAATCTGTAGGTATAGCCCCTTCATATTTCTAATGTTGTCTTTTTTTATTTCATTCATCAGACTTTATAAAGGCTCTATTACTTCATTTCATGTCTGTGTTTTTGTTGTTATATTGTAGTTGTCCAAAGAATCACTTTTATTTTCAATAAGCTGAATTTTTTCATAAATATTTTCTGTTTTTATATTTAATTCCTTCCTGTTTTGCTT